TTCTTAATCATCCTCTTCCCTTTGCTCTGAATTAGTAAAGTCACAAAGCCTGAAGCCTCAGGGTCTCATCACTACCTGCTGGTCATGTTTAAGGGCCTGGGTCCTCTTGCTTTCTCCCCATACCCCAAGCCTGCAGATAACACCCAGCAAATGCTGAGGGAGGCCTGGCCTGTAGAAGAATCTGCTTCACTCTGGGCAGTGACAGATCCTGATCATGTGCTTGATATCCTCAAATAAATCTTCTCACGATCATTTCTGGTCTTCTCCAAATAGCAGAGTATCACTAGGCTGTCGCCAGCCAATGGACACTTCAAGACACTAAATGTTTGGCGTAGGAAATCTAAGAGGCAAAGAGTGCTGTCAGGGTTGCCACACCGTAGTTGCTGGTGAGTTTACCCAACGAGCCACCAAGACCTACACCCCACTCGTCTGAGGATCTCCTGCCCAGGAATCCCATAGCTGCTACAGGGGATTCCTACTGTTCTAATAATTGATTGGGTTTTTTAAATTCACTGCCCCATTTGCCTTGTTCTTAGCCTTCAATGACTCCCATTAGTGACTTATTTTGGTAGCCTGTGTGACCCTGAACTTCCCCGGAAGACACAAGCATAATACTAAGAGCTCTGAAATAAGCAGGATAATTCTTGGCATTCATGCAAGCCCGCACCGCATAAAGCAGAGTGATTTTAGTGAATTGCCCCAGTGTTTTACAAGGGACTAAAAGGCATGATTTTGCATACTTTTTGCACATCTAACCTACTTGCAGAATTCATCCCACTGAAATGCTCGTAAAGGATATGTCCTTTATTCAGCGCCAACTGTGTGCTGGCTGTAGATGGGAGCTTTGTAGATACTGTATTTCACCACCCCTAGTTGATTTCAGACAAAACTGAAGCTCACAGAGGTTAACCTGTCTCTGCCATAAACATTCTTTGCCGAAGCCTTTTGGAAATCTACATAAGCAAATGAAAATAATGAGAGTCTCTTATGAAAAATAATTTGGAAGCTACTGAAAGTGGTTGTAGCCAGTGACACAGAAATTCCTGCACAGGTTAAGAACTACAGGGAAGCACTTGCCTGACAAACTCAATGGTGAAAAGAAGTCCTATTAAAGAGATTTTACGATAAACATGTTCTAAGAAACATACATTGCCCAGGGCCATCAGCAGGATTCAAAGAATACTGGCTTCCCAAGGAACAGGCCCATGGCCCCTTTGGGCCAGGTCGTCAATCCTGAAGCACCATATGGAAATGTGGGGGCAAGATTTGTCACTTGCATTCAAAGTCATGGGCTCCGAGGTGCCTGCCCTCACTAGGACTGACTCTTCTGAATGCAGATGAAATTCTATTGGAAGCCCCTGTTTGCTTTATTGGGGTGGTAAGTCGGGAGAGGAACTGACTTTCCCCAGCTTCAGAGTGTTCTCCAGCTCCTAATTTGTAGGCTTTAGCATGTTTTCCAAGAAAAATTTCATTGATTTTGATTTTTATGTTTTTGAGATGAAGTCTCGCTCTGTTGCCCAGGCTGGAGTGCAGTGGCGTGATCTTGGCCCACTGCAACCTCCACCTCCCGAGTTCAAGCAATTCTCCTGCCTCAGCCTCTGGAGGAGCTGGGATTACAGGTGCCTGCCACCACGCCTGGCTAATGTTTGTATTTTTTAGTAGGGATGGGGTTTCACCGTGTTGGCCAGACTGGTCTCAAACTCCTGACCTCAAGTGATCCACTCGCCCCGGCCTCCCAAAGTGCTGGGATTGCAGGCGTGATCCACCGTGCCTGGCCTCCATTGATATTTTAGCTTGGTCATTCAGTTCATTGTCCTATCATATAATAACTATGTATCAAGGTACACACAGCAGAGTGCATTTTCCTGTTTTCTTTTTGGTTTTGGTTTTGTTTTTGTTTTTAAACCATGAGGTGCAACTAGAATACCTACTCCCCAGTTCAGACCTGGTACATAAAGTAAGCCCTGTGAACCCCTCGTTCTAAAGTCCTAGAACTTGCCCTTCAAGGAATTTGTTGGGTGCTCGGTGGGGCAGAGTGTTACATTTTTAGGATTTTGTGAGATTGAAATTGGCCACGGTAGCAGTATTTACACCATGGAAATCAGCAGATGCTACTTCCCTTCCATCCAGAGCCTGTTGTTCCAGATGTCCCAGACCCGTGCTGGCTGCCACTGCTCACAGCTGTCACTCCCGGGACTCTGTGCTGTACCCAGGGTCTGGGAAGGGATGGAGAATGAGCTTGCATCTTATCTGCCTGTCTCTGAGGCTGCAGTCCCCTCCTGTGTTCTGACATGGAGAAGAAGGGTGGGAACTTTGAATTTTAGCCAAATTAACGACCCTGGGGCATGGATCAAGAGGGGGCCCCATAAGGTGGCCTTGGAGTTTGGAACCACTTGATTCTTTGTTATCTGAGTCCAGAGGGCTCTGAGAGAGAGGAGGAAGTGAATGTTCCCAGGAACACAACAGAGACCTGCCTTTCTACCTTCCACTGTGAGCTTGTGCTGGAAGCAACTGAACTAGGATTGATTTTAAAGTAAAACCATCCTTTGTCTTGATTTAAGGTACCCAAGTCCTCAGATGCTTAAGAACCAGGCACTGTGCCATGTTCTGGGATACCGGAGTGAAGGACATTTCCTGATGATGGAAATGTTCCGTAGCTGCACTGTCTTATGTATGTGGCTATTGAGCATTTGAAACGTGACTGCTGTGACTGTGAATTTTCAATTGTCATTAATTGTAGTTTGAATTTCAATAGCCACGTGCAGCCAATGGCCACCGTATTGGACAGAGCAGCTCCAGAGTTTCAGCGAGAGTCTTGTGTGGCAGCCTCTGTGCCGGGCATGGAGAGGATGCATTCATAACACTGGATGCCCACAAGACCACTAAGTCCTCCCCAGACCCCCGCTCCAGCATTGCTAGCCAGCAAGACCAACACTCATGCCACTAGCGGACATCTGCCCATTCAGACACACCTGCCACTAGGCTGAACACATTAGAAGGTCACCCCATGTCATTCCATCCCATCTGCAGGACAGACAGTGATCTCAACTTACAGGTGAAGAAAGAAGGTACAGACAGATACAGCCCTTGCCCGAGCCCTCAGTGCCAGATTCCTACCCAGACATGTCTTAGTAAACTTAGAACCACACTGCCAGATGGATGGCATCTCAGAGAACCCTGAGGATCTTATTTAAAGCAATCTTCCATACTTGTTCTAAGAGCAGTGTAAGAAGGAGCTCCCATGTATCGTACGGTTTTCCTTTCTCGTGCGTGTTCGTGCGTGTTCAGCCTTCTCAGGTTCTTATTCGGGCACACGCCCCTGTGAGTATGCACATTAGTGTACATATTTCATTTTACACCATGTGGTGAACTTTATTTCCCAACTGGTGATGTTGGCATCTTTCTCTTTTGCTGTCTGGTTTAATTCACTACCATCTATATCAATGTCAGTGACTGGGTCACTGTTTGAGCTTTAACTTTTTTTGCAGGAATGTGGACTACTGATCAGTAAATCACTGATATCCCCCACCCCACCCCCGAGGAGTGTTGCTTTTGGATCTGTACTGATCAAAATGGGATGAAAATGGAGATGTAAACCCAAGATGGAACAAGGCCTTTTGGATATATTATATGGTGTTAGATTACCTATGAATCTACGGTTAAGATTTTTGTACATTTGGCTGGCAATTCTTTTTGCTTAAGAGCATCAAGTTGTAGACAGTCCTCCTGCGCCAAGCTGGAGCAGCCAGAGCCAAGGGCAGAACCTGCCCCAGCCTCTCCGCTGCTGGAGCTGGGCCTTTCGCCTCAGCCTCCACCTTAAGGCAGAAGGGGTTTCCTCCTCATTCTTTGCAGCCAGCAAACAACTGTCTCACTCAGCCACAGCAATCCTCTTAAGGAAACTTTGTGCCCGGGTGGTTTTCTGTCCTGAAAATACATTACTTGGCTTATTTCAGGCTGGCTTCTAGCTTGCTAAACCCAGGGCTCAGGGCTCACAGAGTGAAGGGTGCACACCACATGAGGCAACAGCACGCTGCCTCCGATGTCACCTGCAGGACACAGGCTGGCAGGAACACAGACACTTTCAAGGGGCAAATGGGCAAGAGAGGTCTCAGCAATCCAGGCAAAGTCCGGTAACCCCCGGACACAGAGTAGAACAGGCTACTTTGTATCAGTTGAGCACATGGCAGCCTACAGGAGGCTTCTGCACTGGGGAGCTCAAGAACCAAAGCCCCACCTTTAGGTCAGTTGTTTTTAAAGAGGCTGCTGCACAGTTTAAACTTCAAAAGATGAAGTGCAACAGGGTCTTATCAACGCAACACAGTATCGGCCGTGAAGCTGGTCTCATTCTCTCTGCAGCCCCCCGGACACACAGGGCGGCCCGTGGGGAAGGGCATCTGTCTCCTAACCATATACAGTCAGGACTGGCCTCACGATGCCCATTGCTTGAGTTCCAGGTACAGAATGAAAAATACAGTGTCTACTGTGTAAAGCCTTGTACAGTCCTGAATACCAATATTATTTGAATTATTTATTATAAGCAAGTCAGCATTTACTTTTCCAAATGTCACATGAAATTTCCTTTCTCTTCCTAATATGATTCCTAAGAGGCCTATGGCTTCTTCTCTTCCTAATATGATTCTATTCTTATTTAGAATGGATATTTTGGACTGGCATATGTTACTATACATTATCAATATCACAAACCTTTAGCCCTAGCAGAATAAAAAGAAATGGCTAGCAATTCATTCTAAGCATAGGTATGGTTTGAATTCAAGGCCAGAAAGATGAACATTAATCAGAAAGTGTATCGTGCAGGATGCAGTGAAGTCTAGTATCATACAATAATCTGTGACCCCTTGGAGCTCACCACACCCTTAGACTATGACCTGTTTACAGAAATGCTGGCGTTAGTCTCATTATGGACTTGGGTTTGGGGCTACAGATGGACCCTGTGGTGATGAGCCTGCATAGCTTCCTAAGACATGGGTGAACATACATACCCTTCCCGATGGGCCTCTCCTTTTTCCAACTCCTGAATGACCCCCAAGAGCACTTTGATGGTTTCTTGGCTTGAACTGATCAAGTTCTCCATCATCTGAAGTTGTGCTTTGAGGTCGACCACTTCTGTATGAGGCACGATTTGTTGGCATTCTTCACCCGCAGCAACCGCTGTGGGACTAGGCTGGTTCCCCAGCCCCGGCGGGGTGTGAGTCTGCGAGGGCTGCTCACTACATTCAGGCGACAGGCACTGCATCGGGGGTGAGCAGGCCAGGGCAGTTTCCGAGGGCGCCTGGAGCCCGTTGAGATGTGTGGCTCTCCTCCGCTCCTCGTCTGCTGGGCAGAGTGACCACTGGCTGACGGCCGCAGAGTTTGACAAACCAGGCTCGGGGGCCCTGGCACTGAGGGCAGGTGCGTAAACGGTGGCAACCTCTGTTTTAAACACCCTACCGAGGGCAGGCGGAGCGGGCTCCTCGGAGTTTGGCCTGTCCCGGTCCTGCTTGGCCCTCCCGAGCAGCTGGTAATCGGGCTCTTCGGAGGGGGGCCGAGCGGAGTTTTGGAGCCCAGCTTCTCCATAGCTGAGCAGTTCCGGGCTTTTACAGGGTTCTGCGCAGTTGACCCCCAAAGGCTGGTCTGCTGCGTTCATGTGTTCATTAGAATGGAAAACCAAGGCTGTGGTCTTGTACACCCGCCCTGCGCCACATGGCCGGGCCGCCTCCATGGGTCCAGCCTCGTTCTTCTCTTTAGCATCTGTTAGAAACCCATTGTTTTGGCTTTTAAAGGAATCTGCAGCTGGGAGGCTTTTGAGGTTCCCCTTTTTGCGGTCCAGAGGGAACGTCTGGTAACACTTCTTAAGGTCGGGCGAGGTCTGCACGCCTGTGCTCTTGGTGACGTTGGGGATGGACCTGCGTGCGGGCACTGTCATGTATTTGCGGTAGGCGGCTCTGCAGGACACGGGCTTGGCCTCCCGCTTCTCCCCCAGCTGGCCCGAGGACAGCTGCGTGTCCCTCTGCTCATTCTGCGCTTCGCAGATATCCTTAAACCGCACCTGCAGGGCTTTGTTCCGTTTTTTAATCTGCCGGTTGGGGTCCAGGGCGTATTTCATCTCCAGGGCCAGACAGGCGGCGGATTCCACTTCACTCTCCGACGTTGTGAGTATGCATTTGCCGGTGTCCTTACTGACCATGGTTCCTGCATTCAGAAACAGCAACAGAGGCGTCAGGGGGACAGAAATACACACGCAAGCACCGGCCGCACAAACTTTTAGCCACCGCGACGACTGCCTGTTTCCTAATTATGTTTAAGCAGGTGAGGTCGGCCTTTATGTTAAGGAAAATCACACGGGCTGAGGGTCGCTGGCAGCACAGCTTGAAATGCTTCTCAGATATTAAAACCTGCTTGCTTTTCCAGGTGGGATACACTCGCTTTTTCTTTTGATAGTAATGCATGCTTCCCCATTAGACAAACCTGTTTTACTACATTCATCAAGAAACCCAATGATGCTGCCTCTTCTGCTTTGCAAATTATCTTTTCACACGCGTGACTCCCCTTCTTAGGCAGATGGTTTACCAAGTGCTACTTATTTGGTTTGCGTTTTGACTATTTTTTGAGGATGACGTCATTAATCTATTGCTGGAATCTGGGAGAGCTGCTGTTTTAAAGACTTACTGGAGCTGCTACGTCTTGAGCAGATAAATGTGGAGAGCCCTCCGAGGAGGAACGGAAAGAAATCTATTTGCGTGAGCCATTATGGATTCCGTGGGAGAGTTGGCCATGCTCCTGGGTAGGAACCATAAAGGAGAAGTCGTCGAGGGAATGGTTGCTTCTCATGGGTTAACACCAGCCCTAAAAAGAATGTGGGTTTCCCTGCATCTACAAAGGCCGTGTTTGCAACTCTTTTGATTCCATGGAGAGTGGTACTGGAAAATAATTCTTAAAAAAAAAAAAAAAAGAAATTATTCATTCTAGAATCAAGTTTTGTGTTTTGATCACAACCTCCAAAAATGAAAACAATGGTGGTTGTTTCAGTACTTAAATTCTGAAAGCAAATAAAACCATGAGGCTTTATGTTAATCATGCAAATTCATCCTGGGCTGAATTATTAAATGCAGCTAAAAAGATGCAGGTGGCCAATGACTCCTCTCGGGGAATACCAGTGGGGTAAAATGGCTTCACTTTATTAGGCAGATTCACAGCTGTTTATTGCACATGGAAGAACTTATTTGATGGTTGCACTTAAAGCAAGAAAACAGAGTTAAGTATGTTGTTTGTGAGTGAGGCTTTGCCTTTTACCCCTTTGTGTTTGAGAAGAAAACAGTCAAAGGGAAGGCACGGAGGGTGTACAGGGCCCGAGTGGCTGGAGCCGAGTGCTCAGAGAGGCAAGATCATGGACCTGGGCCCATGAGAGCTGCACAGAAACAGGCTTCGTCCACATTGCCCCCAGCCCGGCTGCTGACAGACCTTGTGTTCTGTCCTGGGGGAGTCTGAAAAACCAGCCCAGAGACCTGTGGCAGCACTCATTGGAAAATGCCGCAAGAACTATGACACGCACGGCATGGCCACTGCTTCTGGAGTGAGGTGGTTCGAGAGCCAGATACTCTGCTCGTCCACATACAGAATACCTTGCTTACAAATGTTCCTGAAGGTCAAGGCTACACTTCCCATTTCAAAGAGGATACTAGGGTTCAGAGATGTTGTGTCACTTTTCAGTGTCACACAGCAAATAAGTAGCGCAGGCAGGAGCAGGACCCTGCTTTAGTGACCTCTGAATCCATGCTGTTCCTCATAGACCCAGCTGTCCAACAGACAGAGGCATGACCCCTCCCCACATCCTTAGCCCTTACTGAGTTAGCATGACAGGCCGAGGTGCATGGTGATTCCGTAAAGGGGAATAAGAGACAACTTCACAGCCCCCATCTGAAAGTAAGTGACATGACTGACCCTCTGTTAAACTGACCTCTGTGTCTCAGGTCAGCCTGGTCCTGTCACCTTGCTGGCCTCCACTGCTGTTCACTGAATGACAGAGTGAAGGAATCACATTCTTCAAACATTATGCCATGAACAACTAACACGTAATCATGTGTAAGAACAACAAAAAAACAATCTCTGTAGCATTTGATTTAGATGGGACCAGAGTTTCCAAATCCTGGCACTACTGGTATTTCAGGACGGATCATTTGCTTTGGAGGGGCTGTCCTGTGCAGTGCAGGGTGGTCAGCGGTCCCTGGCTTCTCCCCACTGAAGAAGTAGCACCGTTCCCTCCCAGTGTGACAACTAGAAATGTCTCCAGACATTACCAAATGAGCCTGGGAGCAGAGTCTTGCCTGGCAGAGAACTACTGTATTAGCCCTTGCACCTCTGGATGCCTCGGGCTCCTGTTCGATTATCCTATCGTGTGTCCTGAAAGGCGAGGCTTGCGTAGACAGCAAAGGAAGTCCTTGGTACTTTACTAGGTGCTGGAGATATTTGGAGATTGCTGCAATTTGAAACTGGAAAAACTGGGCAGTTTTAGAGAAGAGAGAAAAGGCAAGAAACAGACTGGAGATGCACCAATATCTTGACTCTGTTTGGGATGGCTAGATGATAGGTGGAAGGAGGGACAAGGCGTGCCTACTCAGGAGAACGCATCGGTGGCTTTTAGAGATTCTTATCCCAGTGGGTTAAACAGATGCACAGAAGACAGCTTGGTGTGGGGGACAGTATGGGTGGCAGTGAGGGTGGAATAAGAAAATTAAATCTTAACCTTCACTCTGATCTCCTATTCATTCTTTAACTGCCTTTGTTGTCCAGGTATGTCAGAATGCCTTGTGCCATCATTCTGCAGAAGACCTTCACACTAGGGGAAATTTGAAAGAGAGAGCATTTTTACAAAAAGCAATTTACTAGTAATTTTTCAGCATTTTCCCTGCTACCTCTGAAAAATGTGTGTCTGAATACGTTTGTCCTGCCATGCTATTCATCATCACCATTTGCTAGGGACTGCACTGAAATAATTTTCTGGCATCCGTTGGCTGGGGTAAGAAATATTCTAGGTCTTGGACCCAACCATCAAACTAATACAACACATCAGAAGAATTAATTGCCAGTGGCCAAATAATAATAAAAAATTCTAAGCTCTTCTCTGTTTTATAGAGAGTTGCTAGTACATAAAAATCATCTTGTTGTTAGTAAAAAAAAAATGATGGTAATACTTCGGATTTTTAATCCGTTTAGTTTGTTATTGCTGACTTAAAAAAAAAAAACAAACAGGAATAGTAATTGAGTTGTTCTTATTCCCTGATAGGGAAAACACCAAGGAATTTTTGCGGCTGGTTTATTTTGGCTTCAAATGAGGCTATGAGTTCTTTCTGATGGCTGGATGACATTTTCTAAAGCTTTAAAACTGAATTTCTGGACATTAGGAATTACTAAGGTGGCCACATCTTTTCAGGGTGTTCATTTGCTCTTTATTGGGGGTGGAGGGTAAGGCTTACAGTGATTACCATTAAGAAAATGATTTTGTTATGAAAGGAAATGGGGCATTCTACAGAGGACTGTCCCTAAGACAAGTGGAACCTTCTCCCACACTACTCCATTCATCATGCTTTCATGCGTTTATTCAGCAAGTGAATGTACATACGTTACAGTGTAGCGTTAACATTCAGTAAGCATGTAGTTAAGTGCTCCTATGTGCTAATCAAATGTCAGCATTCCCCTATGCATAGCAGTTGCGTTTTCTAGATTTGATCCTCATCATATCCTTACAAGGCAGCCACTATTCATATCCTCATACTGCAGATTGAGAAACTGAGGCACACGATTTTGTTTTGTTTTGTTTTTTTGCATCTTGCTCAGAGTCGCATGACTAGTAGGCCACACCCATTGAAACGGCTGAATCCGTTTGAATCACATGCCCTAACCCACTACTCTTGCTCAAGAAACTCTGTAACTTGAAGTGATCCATGATAAACTTTAAAAGCATCAAACAACTGAAACGCATCTGAGCAATGTCCTTATCTTGTTCCCACAGTGTATCTGGGTGCCGGTTAGGCAAGGACATCCAGGTAGTTCCAGTAACATAGCAGGTGTGGGAGCACTGAGCGAGGGTTGCCTTGAATTCTGGACTGAGCATGAAGCCACAATAGCATTCTTCACGATGGCTTGCCTCGGCTGGGTCACCCTAGAGAACCACGGACTCTGGTTCAGGGAGGTAATCTCTTGGCTCTAAAGCAGTAGGAGTTCATAAAGTTTATTTTTCATAAGAAAATTGTGTTTTAGAACTCATTGGACTGTGCTGTCTTGAGGTGAAAATGGCTAGTCATGGTTGTGCCTGTTTGGCTCGAGAGAGCTAGATGTCGAGGAGCTGTTTGGAATATAAATGTCCTAATTACCCTCAAATTAAATTTCATAATCAAATGTGAGTTGTAAATATATAAACCCTGCATTTTTAGATTAGTGATGGAGAGCCATCTCTGCATGCTGCTTTAAATTAATGGCTGATATGAAAATGTGCATTCCAACTTAAATAAGTGAAAAATGGAAGCAACTAAATGGCTAACAATAGGTAAACAGTTAAGTAAATTATGGTTTACATTCACTCTGGGTGGCCATTAAAAGGATAATTATAGGGATTATTTAGTATCATAGAAAAACACTTACGAAATAATGTTAGGTGAAACAAAGCAGTCTACAAATTATACTGGAAAAAAATGAACAAAAACGGTCATCGTTGTGGTATTAAGAGAACACATTCGGAGAGATTTATTTTTCCTTCTGTTTTCCAATTTGGGGAGAATGGAGGGAGATACAGCATCGTTCTGGTTTTGCCCATGGAAATAACACAAGGTAAAATCCAATCCACACCTGAAGCAGGCCTCTGGAAGGTATAACCACTCGTATCAGAATAAGAAAAACCCAGAAATGATGAGATGGGGGTATAAGTCATTTGCCAAAGGTCATCTTTGATTGTTTTGAGGGAGCCCCGATAAAGAACGAAAATGAATTTCAAGTGTGTGTATGTGTGTATATATGCATAGGTATATACGTGCCTGCGTATGTATTTAGCTATGTATAGTTAAGTGTTTAGCAGAAGATACGTCAATATTTGAGCAAACGCACTGTAAGGAAGGAAGTCAGCATCTGTTTTAATTAGAAATAAAATGGATTCAATAGTCTGAAGGCAACTTTGTGGGGTTCCATCAGCTGACAAGACAAACTCTCCATTGGATTCTGTCCATTCTTAAAATGTCCGTGCAGGTTTGCAGTTTGACCCTGTGATGGGATTTGCAGGGGAGGATGCAATCAGCTGCCAGTCTGACTGAGACACCTCCCAGGGCCCAGCAGTCCCCGCATATAGCAAGATAGCTAGGCAAGCAGTCTGATGAGTGCCGCAAGGGACTGTATGAAATTATAGGTTTTTCTAGTGGCTTTCTCACTGTTCAGACACCTTGGAGTCAAAGATGCTGGCTGGGATTCAAGATGAACTGGATCAGCATTTTCTTCCATATGCTGAGGGGGCGCCTGAACATGAGGCTACTCAGAATGGGACAGTGGTGAAAATGAAATCCCATTCTTCACCACCGGCTTCCCAGTGGGAAGGGGAGGTGAAACAGAAGCTCGCTCACTAAATGAAGTCACTTGTGTTATGAAATAGTTAGCTTAGAGACCTGTTTCATAGGTGCCAATTGAGTCTTCAGAACTGGAAGTCCTCCTTTCCTTGGGGGCAAAGCCAGCTGCCATAGATGGCGGACTGTGTCTTAGATTCATTATCTGGTTTAATTTTCTTTATATAGTGAAATGTTACTCTTTCCCTATATTTGTTGTCTTCTTCAGAGGTCACTGATGAGAAGGACCGAAAAGGGGTGACTAGATGAATTCAGACACCCTTGTGTGAGTGAGCAATGTGGGAGGAACTGTTTCTTGCAGAACTGTGGCTCCTTGGAGGAAACACGGAGATGGATGCCCCGTTCCCTCGATGTGTAGAATATTGCAGTGAAACCTCTGCCATTAAGAACTGATGACCACCCAGTCCAAAGCAGGGAAAAGGGGCACTCATGGAGCTTAAATGTAGGCATCGAGGCAGAAGAAAACCTATCTTAGGTGCAGTCCCCCACTCATGCATATCTGTGATTTTAGAAAACACACTCAACCAACAAAAAAACCTATGGTCTGTTGCTTCATAGGTTTCAATGTAAACCACACAGGCTCACACTGGCCTGCTTCAAGGCAGTGAGAACAAAGGAGGGGAAGCATGGATGCTTGGGGTTTGGTGCTCATGTTTTAAAAGATCCAGAGAATGGCCCTCTTAAATGGTCCAGACTTTTCATTTATGTTTCACTACCCAGTTCTTTGATTTTCAGCTTATGCTGATGTTAACCTTTGCTCATCCTGTCTAAATGGAATCTACATTAGCAGAAATGAATTACCAAAATTTTATGATGTTGGTGAAAATCAACTGGAAAATATGCCTTGTTGAAATGAGACATTATGTCAATGTAAAAAAAAAAATTTTATTTGCAGCAGTTAGCTGTGCCAGCTAATAATGGCCAAAAGGAGTTCAGTACAGTTGGTTCCAACGATTCACCAAAATCGCCTGTGAGATTGGTAAAAGGAACTAATTTCCCTGCCTCCCCCTTTCCCATCATCATGACAGTGACAGAGTGTGAGACAGGAGGGCTGTGCTTTGAACATAGCTCATGAGTACATTTAGGTACGATAGCAAGTGTCCCACTGACCCCGGAGGCTTCCTAGTGATGAAGCAACAATCAGCTGATAGTTTGGGGCCCATCAGAGGCGGGAGTTGGCAGGACACAGAAGAGGTGGTCTTCCTTTTTTAGACTTAATGGGAATCTCACTCGCATGAAAACACAAAGATACATACTAGAATGTACTTGGGGAGTGTGTTGCCTTCCTGATTATGCTGAATCTATATTTTTGTTTTACTAAACAGCATGATTTGATTCAGGATTTATCTGAAACTAAAACTAGGACATTGATTTCCACCCCTCCCCCCAAAATGACTTATATCAAAGGAGTCTGTTTTCCCTGCCACTTCCCAGTCTTATTTGAGGATACCCCATCGGAACACTCAGGGCAGGATATCTGCTTGGAGGTAGTGTTCACGACAACGGAAATCATTTAGAGCTGAAGACGCAATCTGTCTTTCCGGCAAGGCCATGGGAATGCCTATCAACTCAACCATCAGAATGGATCCCCCTTATATTATCATCGTAGTGTGAAAAGACCACGATGTTTCCTTGGTTTGGCCAAATCCTAAGCTTTGCATGGTCTTCGGTTCACTGCAGAGGTAGCTATGCCAGGAAGAAAAGGAGACTTGAGCATTTCTTGTAATTGGCTTCCATTCCTAAGCTGATAGCCAAATGTAGAGAAAATAACCTGCCCTTGGGGTCCGTGTACACAATCCTAACTGAAGTCTGCAGAAAGAGTTAGTGCTTGTAATCTTCACGGCCCTCATACAGTTTGCAGTCCATGGCGTAGTCTGAAAAGACTGTCTTGGTTTGAATGAGCTATTTGTTGCAAGTGTGCACAGAGCGAAGTTTTAGCATTCATAACACAAGATGTCATTTTTGTTGGGGGGACGGTGAAGAGAAGAGAAAATAAACAAAAGGTCTATATATTGTCTACTTTACACTGTATATTTTATCACTTAAAAATAAAATCTACCTCTTATCAATCCTGGTGTTACTCTGCCAGGTTAGTTGGTTGTTTAATGTTTTCCTTGACCAGCAGCTGTTGTGAACCTCTGTCTTCTCTGTGCATGATAATAAGTAGCTACATTTTAAAAACATGAAACCATATCCTTCCCTCACAAAGTTTCATCTAATGTCTTCAAAGGTTTCTCTCTTAGTGCATGAAAAACTTGGTAGTGTCTCTGGTAGTCTGGAGGAGGAGGACTCAGTGGTCTTTCTTGGGCGGCGGTCTAACACGATGTAATGCCTGAGACCCAAGGGCGGCCTGGACTCAACCCAGCAACACAGCTACTGTGCTTACCCCAGCTGAGCTTGGAGCAAAAGAAGACACCCCATGTTAAAGGCAGGACTGGACTTGCTTTGCATTGGGGTCAAGAGACCCATCTCCAGCTTAGTAGAGTCTTTCAGTATTTTTATACTGAAGGCTTCCAACAAGTGCTGCCAATGGCTTGCTTAATTCATTCCCCAGTCTAATCCCCCCCATATCAGTCGTCACCATGCCCTATTCATTTTGTTTTTCCTTCCTGTTCCTTCTCCTATTGATTTCTTCCCTTTAGTTCCACACTGTTCCCACCCTGATCTTGGCCTTCTTAACTCTCCTGCCCTCAGCTCTCCATCCCCCATACCCCACCCCCGTCCCCCATCCTGCAGGTCCTGCTAGTCTTGGCTCCAAGTGCACACATCACTTTTCTCTGCATATACCTGGATACATCCCAGTTGGTAGCACTTCCAAAGAGCCTTTTATTATAAGATCATCTATACTTTTTCCTACCTGCTCATCTTTCTAGATTTCTCCTGGCTGCTCAAAAATGCTCCATCTGCTGACTTCCATTAAGCCATTTCCTGCACTGTCTCCTGAACACACCATGGTCAGTCTCGACTTTGTGTCTTCACTTCCGCTGGTTCACTTTCCAGGACCGTGCCCTGGTCCTCCTTCCTCATGGATAGTCTGTGTTTGGAGGTCTAGATCTAGTCTTGTCTTCTATGCCTTCTCCAGTCCTTATCTGTCACCTTCACTGACTCACTGAACAGTGCCTGCATGCCCAGGGTGACCCAGGCACCAGACTGGATGCTGGGCACACAGGAAAAAACAAGGCATGTTCTTGGGCAGTGTCTAGTCCAGCAGCGGAGAGACACGTCAATGGCTGACCCCAGTCCCCTGTGTGCAGGACCATGTAAGAGGAGGGAGGTACTGAGAGTGCTCCCTGGGGAGTCAGGGTAAGCTCCACCTGAGAGATGTACAAGAGCAGGCCTGAAGGATGCTCACTTTGCTTTGCTGTGTGTCAGTTTTCTCTGCTTAACACAAATGTAAGTGTTCTGTGGAGTAGGTCCCTCTAAGCACCGTCTTTCTCCTATGCTCAGTCATCCGTCCCTACTTACTGGTTTAAGAATCTTAACACTGGCCGGGTGCGGTGGCTCATGCCTGTAATCCCAGCACTATGGGAGGCTGAGGTGGGTGGATCACAAGGTCAGGAGATGGAGACCATCCTGGCCAACATGGTGAAGCCCGTCTCTACTAGAAATACAAAAATTAGCTGGACGTGGTGGTGCATGCCTGTAATCCCAGCTACCTGGGAGGCTAAGGCAGGAGAATTGCTTGAACCAGGGAGTCGGAGGTTGCAGTGAGCCGAGATGGTGCCACTGCACTCCAGCAAGAGAGTCTTAACACTGTACATCACAGTATCCTTAGAGCTGGGGTCTTAGCTGAGATATGGCAACAAGACTTAGGATGAGTGTACAATATTAGTGGCTTCCAAGGAGTCTTTCTACATTATTTGGATCCTCAGATTAGGTAGAACATGGCTGTATAATGAAACCTGAGTAGGAGTTAGAGAAGTGGAAAGGAGAAGGGATAGAGTTTTATTTGTTGAGGTAAAACCATATCCAGAGATTTTTATGTTCTGAACTTTGGCATAACTATCTTGAGTGGTTGTACAAATGTTTACTGTGCTGAGGGGAGAGAAGGAGATGGCACACACACTCACAGAAATGAGTGGATGGCACAGAAATTGTACAGGTTCTATATTTAATCATGCAGTATATTGGGGTCCCATACTGTTGTAGAAAATGTGACTTGCTAGGAATTATCAGAAGCTTTGTTCTTACAGTACTCAACTTTCTTCCAAGATATGGTAGTATCAAAATAAATTCAGAGTTTAATTAAAAAATCTCAGCAGCTTGGAATAACATTTCAGAGCATGGTACCTTTCCTGACCTCAGTTGTCTAATCTGCTCTAGAGGATGAATCACTGGCTTTCAGAGGGAAAAAAACAATAGAGGGTCTGGGGCATACCCGTGGGTCTAGTCACTTCCAAGGGTGTATTAGTCCGTTCTCACACTGCTATGAAGAAATGCCTGAGACTGGGTTATTTATAAAGGACAGGTGTTTAATGGACTCTCCGTTCTGCATTGCTGGGGAGGCCTCAAGAAACTTAAAATCATGGTGGAAGACAAAGGAGAAGCAGGCACCTTCTTCACAAGGTGGCAGGACTGAATGAGCGCAAGCAGGGGAAATGCCAGACACAGACAACCATCAGATCTCCTGAGATTTCACTCACGATCATGATAGCAGCATGGGAGAAACTGCCCCCCGATCCAATTACCTCTCCCTAGTTCCGCCCTTGACACACGGGGATTATGGAGATTACAATTCGAGGTAAGATTTGGGTGGGGACAGAGAGCCAAACTGTATCAGGGGGGCATAAACATATGAATGAAACAGCTTTCATTTGCCTGTTATTTGAATTGAGAACAGTGAATATGAAATTATACTAAATAAGGAAGAGCAGTACTTAGGAATCTCGTGCCACACTGCTGTTGTCCATTGAGATGAACATGGAAGGCAGGAGAAGGGAAATGGGGGTGTATAAAGAGAGAAAGGATGTTAGGGGAATGGTGAGTCGAGAGAAATGCACACACAGACACAGGAAGGGAAGGGGATGTGTGCTGGAACATCAGTCCAGGTCAGCTGTGGGACATCTGTGGGCTGTTCCCTTGAATCAGGCTCATAGAGTTCTGATGGCCTTCAGCCACAACGCCCATCGTTTTGGCTGCTCTTAAAGGGCCAGTTGCAGCAACCCCATCTCCTGTCCAGAAGGGAATGTGACAATTCACCCTGGGGCAAAACAAGAGTGCAGGCTCGGGCAGGCACCTGAAGCAGGACATCGTATGGTTTCCTGTTCTATGAAGCACCCAACACATAACACATTAAGTGTTAAACTCAATGAAGAGTCCCATTTTCAGCAAATATTCCTACGTTTGCCTCTATCTTTTTATCTCTCCAGCACCTCCTTGGAACAGATGCCCTGCTACTTTACAAGGCTTGTGGAAAAGAGAAAGAGAACAGTAGCAAAAGCCTGTGTAGTTCATGAATAGAAGGTAGCTTCGTAGTGAGTAAGCAGTACTGATGATCTATGAAGTGATTCTCTGTGGATTGAGCACGCTAAAAAGATCTTAAAAAGGAAAACATAAATCTTTCCAAAACCTCACATGACCCCTGTACGCTTCGGCCTTCTTGAAGCTTTGGAGGAGAGCATAGGTGTGGATGAAATGGAACCTTTTATAAGTTTTTTTGGTTTTTGTTTTTGTGTGTGAATTTTTAAAGAGAGCATTTCCTGCCACGTAGAAGAAAATCCAGGGGGTGGCTGTCCTCCCACAGGAAGGAGGTAAACACACATTTTTCCTTAAGGGCTCTATTCCCTCAGCCTGGCACCCTCAAAGGCCACACTTGGAGGCCAGGAAGTTAATCCATTCAAAACAAGGAGAAGAAAGAAGGAAAAAGCATATTGGTCTCTACCCCAGTCCAGGCAAATCAGAACTTCTGGAGGATGGAGACTGGGTACCACTTTTTGTTTTAAACACCTCACATAATTTTAATAATGTCCCCATGATAAAGAACTACTGGCCTTCTTCCTTTATCTTTTTCATCCCTTGTTGTCTTCTATTTCCTGCTGTATCCCCAAAGCTTAGAGAAGCTTGTGGTATATAAAAAGTACCCAGAAATATTGATTGAATGAAGGGCTTAATGAATGAGTGAATGTCACAAGGGAGCAGGGAAGACGGGCCCCTTCCATTTTTCTCTGGAATAAACCTAAACATCAGCCAGGTGTTGAGATGATCACTAGCAGATCCCACACAGGCTCACAGAGTGTCTGTGCCTCGGCCCGGCTGGGCTGTGCTGTGCACCGACAGACGGGGTGGATTCATATTCCACAGAGGAGGTAGCTAGTGGCCAGTCATTGTCATGGTTGAAAATCCAGGTCTTTCACAACATCCATTAATTATGGGATGGCAAATTCCAAGTAAATTGTAACAGAGCAGACCCATAGTAGGAATAGGGCATATTCACATTTTTTATTTTTAAATATTTCTGATTGGAGATGCAAAACATTTAGAATTCTGTTCCCTTCTAGGAATTCAATGGCTTGGGGCAGCTCTTTTTAGCCGTGGATCTGGGGTTTGAGACCAGTCGTTCGTACATTGACAGTCTTGGCACAGTGAATAACTTTGGATTTTCTACATTGGAGAGGGGGTGCTCAAGGTCTGCCCATGCTGCCGTGGTTTGCTAACATGGTTAATATCTGGCCGTAGTCCCCAAGAACTGGGGCTTTGAGACCACCTGCTTGGTTTTGAGTTCTGGCACTTCCCCTCCACTTAATAGCCCAGAACTCTAGGCAAGTGATCTAACCTGGGAGAGCAAAGATAAGAAAAGGTAACACTTGTGTATAACACTCACCACAGGCTAGGTACCATTCTGTGCTTTGTGTATGTCTGAACTTTTCATTCTGCAAACACCCCCTGAAGGAGAAATTACTATTTTTAATAAAGATGGGGAAACCGAGGCACAGGTAGTGGAGTCACGTGCCCACGGTCACACAGATAGTTACTGGCAGAGCGAGGAGGGCAAAGGAGGATAGCCTGGCCTGGAGCCTGTTCTCTCGCCACCACGCTGCACTCCCTGTGAGCTGGGTCAGGGCTTAGGAGGTCGGCTCCTAGGAAGCACTCAGTACACGGCCCTTGTGGTGAGGTGGATGTGCACAAAGACAGCACACCTCGGGATGTGTTGTGCATGTGGATGACACCGGACGCAGGACCTAAGAGACACAAGCTTGAGAATGACCGCCAGAAGGTTCCAACCTTAACTGGCTGATTAAAAACTGTACGGTTGGCTTAGAGTTATACTTTAAAGCTGCATTTGCCAGTGGTCACTCTCACTGACTCTTCAGATACAGAGTTAGAACTGATGCTTCCGTGTGGAATTTAAATAATTACCAGGAGTGAGTTGGGGTCCAGTCTCTGCCACTCACTCAGTAGTTGACCTGCCCAGTGCAGTGTGGGACCAACCCCGTCAATGAGCCTGGGCACTCTCTCTGAGGGTCCAGTGTCCAGCCACCTGCTAACTTCCGTAATTCAGCCTCACCCTGCGTGTTTTTGCCACATGGATAAATCTGATAGACACAATAAATAAAGTAGATATATATTCAGAATAAATATTATACAGCGAGACTAAAATATAAATAGCAAGTGCAAAACAAATTAAATGAGGTTGTGAATGGTGAAGCCACTGAGCTAAGAACTACCATTAAAACAAGAAAAGTAAGTAATTGAGAAATGCAGTTATCATTGGGCAAGAAGTCAAATGAAAAATATGGTTTGAAAGTGAAAAACATATTTTCAGCATTCCTTTAATTTCACACACTACGTTTGCACATGGCACATTATCTCAGCTATGGGAGTCTCAAGTGCACGGTTAAGTGGACACTGTGCAATGTGATTTACGCAAGGGAAAAAGACAAAAATAATCTTTATGCAGTACTCTTATTGATTTTTAAAATGAGAAATTGGTGGGTCTGGCACAGAGATCAATGGAGTTGAAGTCACGACGTCAAATTGAGATGTGAGGTTAAGGCTGAGAGACAGACATCTCGTTCTCTCATGCTGGCCCAATGAACTCTCCAGTTTTTTTGGTGAGTTCCGGTGAAAACTCTTTTTAACCCAAAATGTCAGCATTTGGGTTAGAAGAACATTAATTTATCTGACTGCAGTGAGATGCATTTTCTCAATTCTCCTTGTTTGCTTCTTTTACCCTAATACTAGGTCGCTAAATCCAAAGACATTCTTTCTCTAAAAACTCAACTTCTACCCAATTGAATTTTCACCAAAGGAATTGCCAAGGTTGAGTTTGATGGTAAAGAACCCAACCCTTTGGTGCTTTTTTCTTTTCTAAACACTGCATGGCCGGACGTCAGGACTGCTCAGCCCTGGAAGTCGCCTTCCTCTTTACTGCCTTCTCATGGTGTTTCCTTTAATTCCTACTACACAAACAGTTACAATTGGAAATGGAAGAAAACAATTATTTCCCAATCAGGATTTCCTGAGTGGGTAGCAAAATCACTGACTAGGTTTGTGTTAGTAGCCTCATTAAATATTTACTAAGCACCTGTTATAGACAGTACTATGCTTAGTCAT